TTGTAGTCCCGTAGTATTATTGCACAATATGCAAATTACTGCTGAAACGATTTACCGCTGTCGAAAAAGTAGGACAGCAAATTATACTTCAATAAAGGTGTAACCTCTGAGTTCCAAGACATTATTAGTAGGAAATAAATATTTCTACATTATACAAAAACATTATTATTAACAAATCAAAAGTTTTTCGTGACTCTAGGATAAATCGCGCATTAATAAAAGAAGAACTATTTTCGTGACTCTTACCGCGGGTTTAGCTGAATATTCAGCAGTTATTAATATATTAGATACAGTACAATGGCTAGTATAAATATCTATTTTTGAAAATGCATGTAAGACACTTTACCGCCATGCAGTCTTTCATGGTAAGGAAGTTATAATATCAGTTCTACTTCCGATTCTTGTGGTCTGTTTACATATTTTACTAGGTCATGATATGAGTTAACCTTCGCTATTCTAAAAATAGATTCTGCTTCACCTGTTCTGATTTTTGGACAGGCGATTAGGAAGTACACATTAAACATGTAATTAATAAACCAGCGGATTGTAATGCAATACTTTTAGAAATGCTATACAATTGTAAGAAGCAAACAAGTTGAAAATGGAATTTAGTGTGAAGTTGAAAAGGACAACTAAACACTGTAGTGCTTAAGTGACATTTAAATTAAAATAAAAACGATGTGCTCTGGCCTCTACATCTTTACCTTGTAAATAAAAAAAAATCTAAGAGATACACTATTAATTGCTGATGATTTTAACCAATTTTTTTTTTAATGAGACATATCCAAGAGAAATAAAAATACAAATGACTTATATTTTATTGTCTGTATGCCCACTATGATATAACACGAAGCAATTCTAAATAGCATTATCAAATGTATAATGTATTTAATAGGGCTGGGGCGAGTATCCGAGTACTCGGATAATCACGAATCAAAGTGAAAAATCGAGTTTGAATGTTCGTAAGCCCAGAGATCGTGGATCGCGATCTAATTTTTTTTATATAAATTCACTGTTTCTCACACTCTTCAAATCGAGAAAAATATGAATTATATGAAGTTTACCTAAATACAATTTGCCGGTTAAAGACCATTACCATGATGCTGAGCTTGGTAGTAATTGGTTTCAAAAAAACAAAACAAAAATACTCATCCAAAGAATAAAAACATAAACAAAGTTTATATATTATATGTTAAATGTATTAGATGTTTTCTTAAATGAACATGTTTTTATAACTTTTGTACATGTTTTTATGGGTGTCTTGATAACAAAATATTTGTGGTTCGATTTGTGAATCGTAAGTGCTGAATCGTGGTTCGGATCGGATCGTCACTTATCCGACGATCCACACCTACTATTATGTTTGAAGTTTATTTGCCTGGATTTATTCTAGAAATATTTCGTTGATAGTTTTTTTTCTATTTACATATCATTTCTTAGAATAAATCGATAAGGACACTGATTTACAAGTTTGACCAGAGTTTTTAGGCATAAATTTCATTCTGTATTTAAGTGCTTGAAAGTAGAAAATCTGAATTATATCAATTTGGGACACAAAATATATTGCTCTACAAATCTCGAACTTGTATGGAACAAATTTTCTCTGTTATATATTTTGTGTTTTGTTTTTGTTTTGTTTTGTTTTTCTAAAAGAAGCCTTAATTAATGTCTCTCCGGTTGCATGTCCGTCGCATTCAGTGCTGCAGCACTTTGATTTTTTCTGATGGGCGCACACAAAAACAAGAGCTGTCGGTAGGACAGCAACGCTCGACTATTCTTAGTGCTTGATAGTAAAAGAGGCTTGATAATGTAAAATTTTCTAAGTTAACAAAAGGGCCAAATTTTCCTTTCAATCCATGTAACTGTTATAGGCATTGAAGAGAGTCATATTATGCTCTCAAAGAAGAGTATAAAATTTCAAACCCAGATGTCAATAGTATAAGAAAATATCTGAGGTGGTATGCAAACTTTAACATAAATTCTAAGTCAGAAAAGGGGCATAATTCTGTCAAAATGCTTGATAAAGTTACCTCCTCCTGTCTACAGGTTTGGGTCATGATGGTTAACAAGTGTGCAAAGTTTCAAAGCCATATGTCAATGAACTTTGAAAATATTTGAGGTATTACAAAAACTTTAACATAAATTCTAAGTCGAAAAAGGGGCACAATTCTGTCAAAATGCTTGATAGAGTTACCTCCTCCTGTCTACAGGTTGGGGGTCATGATGGTGAACAAGTGTGCAAAGTTTCAAAGCCATATGTCAATGGACTTTGAAAATATTTGAGGTATAACAAAAACTTTAACGTAAATTCTAAGTCGAAAAAGGGGCATAATTCTGTCAAAATGCTTGATACAGTTATCTTCTCATGTCTTCAGGTTTGGGTCAGAATGGTTAACAAGTGTGCAAAGTTTCAAAGCCATATGTCAATGGATTTTGAAATTATATGAGGTATTACAAAAACTTTAACATAAATTCTAAGTCGAAAAAGGGGCATAATTATGTCGAAATGCTTTATACAGTTATCTCCTCCTGTCTACAGGTTGGGGTCATGGTGGTGAACAAGTGTGCAAAGTTTCAAAGCCATATGTCAATGGACTTTGAAAATATTTGAGGTATTACAAAAACTTTAACGTAAATTCTAAGTCGAAAAAGGGGCATAATTCTGTCGAAATGCTTGATACAGTTATCTCCTCCTGTCTACAGCTTGGAGTCATGATGGTGATCAATTGTGCAAAGTTTCAAAGCCATATGTCAATGGACTTTGAAAATATTTGAGGTATTACAAAAACTTTAACATAAGTGGTTACGCCGACGCCGACACCGACGCCGACACTCGGGTGACTACAATAGCTCTACTTATTCTTATCGAATAGTCGACCTAAAAAAGAAAGGTCGACGAAGAAAACGTGTGACGGTATTAAAAGTTGATAAATCTTCCCAAATTCTAGATACTTTTTTCTGATCGATTCATTTAAAAAGGGAAATCAAGTGAACAGAAAGACAGTTTTTCTTCAACCTTCAGATCAGATTCACTCAGATACTTGAATATGCTGAATAGACTTTAGTTACACATTTTCAGTAGAAATTGTTCAGTTGGTTGACAAATCGTGCTAATCCGTCGTGAACATTTATTTTGAACTACATCATAAATAGTTACACTTTTTCAGCAGAAATTGTTCAGTTGGACGCACTCGAAACTTTTCTGTGTGACGATTTTCTTAAAGTAGAAGAAAAGTGCAATATTCAAGGTGATCTTTTTTCTTGACCTATCGGATCTGAATCACTCAATTGGTGACTACTTATTTTCAGCAGAAGATGTTGGATTTGAGTTGCTCTCGAAAATATTCAGTAGCAAGGTTTTAAAATGTAGATGAAAAATACTTTTTTCGAGGTGAACATTTTTTTAATAGCAAAAATATTGAGACCAATGCTTTAAGCATGCCATAGCCCTTTAATATAAATTACCAAAGTAGAATGTATAATTTTATCATTATATTCCTACAAATAATAGCTTGAGCGTTTTTGCATTTGAAAAGAAAAATATAACAATAAGTTTCAATATCCGAACTTTATATGGGCCTACAGATGCAATTGTTTCCTGTTTTTATTCATGTTAAATTTGATATGGTAAGATGACATTCTAGTATATACGTAAGGTTATGATCTCATATACAGTAAGACTTTATTGAATATTAGTGTCATCACAAAAAAACTGAATGTAATATTATAACAGTAAATTAGCCAATATGTAATAGTTATAGTATATGAAACGAGTTAGTTACACGGATATAACATTGGTTGGGACGACATAGATGTTTCTGCTAAAATATGGCGAGACGATTTTTTGCAGAAACTCATGTAATACAGACGTCCTTTGCCACGTGGACTGCACAAAAGATCTAGTCTTTATTTAGGTACGATTTAGGTGATAGATTTACGCTGTTTTCATCTAAAGGAGATGATCAATTTTTTCGCACCATTATGAATGACGCCTAATAAATACATGTAGCATGAAACTAGCTCTATTTATATTATAGGTTAAACATCCATCAAATATCGGATAAGGTTTCAGCCACCTGTTTAAAGGTTTGAAATGTGACAATAACCAAGCATCCTCAAAACAGCTAAAGTTTCTGACGGAAATTCGCCGAAAACATAGGTTTTTAAATTGAAGAGGTGAATAAGGTTATATAAATACTGAAGATGGCTATCCGTTTCAAAATCAGTCAGCTGACAACAATATACAATTGAAAATAAGTGTCCTTAAGTTTAACATAAATGTAGAAATAAGAAATAATTTTGCAAACATGTAAGATCTGTCGACGGTAAATAGGCAGCAAATGAGATTATACAATTTCTCTGACATAATCATATTCTAGAAATTTAGAAAAGAAAGTTAATTGTCACTTCTAATATTCAACTTATTAATTAAAGAATCAATTCTGCTACTTACACTGACTGACAACATGACACCAAGGTGGGGATAAAGATAAAAAAGTCATGTTTATATGCTGGTAGATTAGTTATTATTTTATTATAGTTTACACATTATAACGACTGGGAATGTGTTTTTTTTTTAATTAAAGAACATCAAACCACTCTGCTATCTGATTGCTACTGTGGGAATACTTCCCCCTCGTACAAATAATAATAAAAATAATAATAATGATAATAATAATAATAATAATAATTAATTAATTAATTAATTACATCTAATACCGGTATACAGTTGTAACAAGTTTTGGAGCATAAGAACACATCACTAAGTTCTGTGTGTCTACCTGCAGCATAGAATAGCCATCATCACAACCTCCGAACAAACTGCAACAATATTTACAAAAAAATGCTGACAAATGTATATGGTTTCAAATTATTTGTCATATCACGTTACTAAAAATCTACGGTTTATGGACAGCATGTAAGGCAGCTTTTGATTGGTTGATTTGGCCACTCTGTTAGACACACCTCTATGATTCAAAAATACAATACCCACTGTAGAATGCTTATACAGAAGACGAAAATCTGCAAGCAAAACTTCTTTTACAGGGATTATATTTTTATAGTTTAAATTTATTTGAACTGGGACGATAAGTCCGTTGACATGTATATTTTGATTTGTTGCAAAAGAATATATTAGAATAAAATCGGATATAGCGTGCGAAGATGGGAAGTGGTTTCAGGCTGAAATTTGGTACTGTTGCGATAATCGTGCAAACAGTTTTCATCGTCCTGTTTGCCACCCTCACGGAATACGACTGGCGAGCACATCCGGTATACTCGGACCCAAACCATCCGTCCTATACCAATGACACCAACTTGGCATTCCAAGAGGATAACGAGTCCATATCACATTATGTTGGTCGGAAGTATCCCCGTAAGTATGAGCATTTCGTTATCACTGTAATGCACAAAACAATACATAGGAAATGCATTTAAATGAAATTCATATATTTTGTAAAATATTCATACATTTTTGTTGTATGTTTTTGTTTGTTGACCATGTGCATTTTTATACTATTTTTAACGTGATACAAAATTTATGCTTGGGTGCCATACAGTTCTTATACATTAAAGTTCATCTGTTTTTAGAGGAAATATTTAGTGAATAAACGAAGACCATTAAAATTTTAGTAGGAAAATCTCGAATGCACCTCAAGAACCATAATAGCTATGTTATATTACAGAAAATTGATTGTCTAACAAAAACAAATAATTCTATACACTTCATTTTAACTTAAAATGCAACAATGTGTTTTGTTTATATTATAGGAGCGTTAAGTCAGATAAACTAATGCAAATTGTCTATTCTGAATATAAAAATTGGCACGCAGAAAAAGAATCAAAATATGCATTATTCTCATAAGTAGTTTTAAATACATGTATTCGCTTTTTGTTGTCTTAAATTTAGGACAAAGGCTGTTTAAATATCGGTCAATTAATGAGCCTCAAAATATATCCATTATTCCATACCTATCACCTGTGTTTTTATAAGGTAGGGTGACAAAAACGCGTCATAGAGAGTGACCCTATTGTCCTTGTCCACTGGAAGCCTGGGCAATACTTGGATCAAACTGGGCACTGCTTTGTGCTGAAACCATGGGGTATTTATTTATCAGCCAAATTGGCGAAATTTTATGGTATAAGATTACGATGAGAATAAAGATAAAGTTCCCTACAGAAATATGTATATTCATACACAGTGATTAATGTGAAAAATACAAGGTGAAGTTTCAACAACAAAAAAGTCTTAAGTTCATCAATCATCTTGCAAATTATTTACTGTAATTTAAATCTACATTTACTAATACTTATTTCGAAAAATAGGATAACTTAAGATAATATTTGCATCACTAATAACACATGTATATTAACAAAAACCGAAAGAAATTACAATAAATAACTTTTAAGACAGTTAAATAAACTAAAGTCTATAGAGAACATTTGTGTGCCTTTAATTATTCCTGATGTCCGGAAATGTAAGCAAAAAGGCTGTTCCCGCATAAGACAACCTAAATTTTATAGTTAAGCAAGCCAACATCTCTGCACTGAGGATGACCGTCATAAAGATAGCTCACTTGCAATGACACTGAGCTGTGTCATAGTATTAACAATTATAACATAATCCGTTTATTCTGTAGCACCAATATGTCTGCTGCAAAATTGTCTCCTGGAAACACCAACGTCTGCTACATACTTCTTCGTCTGCTACAAACTTCTTCGTCTGTTGCATTTACTTCGTCTGCTACAAACTGCTTCTTTTGCTGCATAATTCTTCGTCTGCTACAAACTTCTTCGTCTGCCACATACTTCTTCGTCTGCTACAATCTGCTTCTTTTGCTGCATAATTCTTCGTCTGATACAAACTTCTTCGTCTGCCACATACTTCTTCGTCAGCTACAAACTGCTTCTTTTGCTGCATAATTCTTCGCCTGCTACAATTTTCTTCGTCTGCCACATACTTCTTCGTCAGCTACAAACTTCTTCGTCTGCTGCATACTTCTTCATCTGCTGCATACGTTATTGTCTTTTGAAAATTCATCGTCTGCTTTAAATATTTGAGCAAACTTGATCTTGTTTATCATATTTTAAATAACTTCGTTGGCTGCAAACTTTTGCGTCTTCTTCAAACACCTTAAAATATCTTGTTTCACATCTGCATACAGTTAATATAATGTTACGGAAACCGAACAATATAGAAAGTCATAAATAAAACCAAACCATCAATTACTCGTTTCAAATTTACGTGTTTTATACAAAACAGTTTTCAAAAGCACATTGCTATTGTTAACAAAATAAATTTAAAAAATAATTTAATAGAATTTTTCCACATTCACACCCAGCCATTAATTTGATATTCTGTTTTGAAACAGGCTTACTGCGCTCAACGTTCACGTGACAACTTCGCTACAGTGACGTAATTTTAATATTTTGTTTTCCATTATTTATTCGCTTAAATAAACCAATGTCTTTACAAACATTTTTCTCTCTTTGCAATAATGTTAGCAACTTTATTTACATTTTTGCATATGTAATTGACAAATAGCCTTTGCATACTGTCATGTTGCCATTATTATCATATTGCCTTTACTGTCATGCTGCAATGTTGCCATTACTGTCATGCTGCTTTTACTGTTATGTGGCCATATTGTCATGTCATCATCACTCTCAGGTTGCCTTTACTGTCATGATGGCAGTGGACATATTGCCATGTTGCCATTACTGTCATTTGGCCATATTGTCATGTTGCCTTTACTGTCATGTGGCCATATTGCCATGTTGCCTTTACTGTCATTTGGCCAATTTGTCATGTTGCCTTTACTGTCATGTGGCCATATTGCCTTGTTGCCATTACTGTCACTTTCCTTTACTGTCATGTGGCCCTATTGTATTGTTGCTATTACTGTAATGCTGCCTTAACTGTTATGTGGTCATATTGTCATGTTGTCATTACTGTCATAACTGCCATTATTGTAATCTTGTCATTACTGCCATGTTGCTATTGCCATAGAACAGTTTTTCACTATTGTCTGGTTGCGGTTTGGCCGCTCTAACATAACACAATGTTTCCATCATGTCATGATGCCATGGTGTCATAATGCCATATTGCCATAATGCTATGTTATTATATTGTCATAACGCCATGTTGCCATAATGTAATGTTTTAAAATTGTCAACTGTTTTATTCTAATTTTATTGAAAAACGTAACAAGCATTGACAGCTTCACAAGTTTTCTTTTGTTTTACCAAAACTTTGGGTGGGGAAAAAAAATCTTATGAATGTTACAATGCATAAAACAGTTATTGCAGAGTTGAATATATTGTAGCGTTATATCTGATCTGAATTAGGCTTTGTAACATGTAATATCGGCTTAAATAGTGCAGGAATACTAAGCATCAACCTTGGACCGGGATTAATATTTTCATTGCAACCTAAATTTTTGTAACCTAAATCTTCTAGCTTTCATTGTTGCCCATAATGCGCCGACTTGAACATTTGATACCGACCTCAAAAGGAGGTAATATGAGACATCATATCAAGGGTCATTAACTGTAAAAGGACTTCGATTTTATCTTTCTTTTACGCGTCAAATGAAGACCGGGTTCTGTAAGAATTAATATGGCATATTAGAAGTGATGTTTAAAGTTTCAAATAACGTATTGGTAACCATAACATTGGCCAACTTTTTAACACAAATATGCGAAGATGTCCGTTAATAAGGACATGCACTAGGCTAAGTAAAGTTGTGTCCGAACTCGTCCGAAGATTCACCATGAATATGTACATGCATAGTGTTTAGTCTTTCGTAATCTTATATCAAGTCCAGGAAGATATATTCGATTTAAAGTAACTCATGAAAACTCATTTTCAATGTTATATTTATGCCATTGGCAAAACTTGTAAAATTGTAAAGGAATGTGTTATTTCTTCCTTTTAGAAAGTATGAATTAATGTCACACTTTTCTTTCAAACATAAAATCACGCACTAACACTTCATGCAATAGTAGAGCAGGCGGCCACTATATATAACGCCATATACATACAAAATTAAAAAGTAACAATTGCGGTAAAGTTTGTTTTCTCGCAGACGACATCTGCTGACAAATGGTATGACGGGAAGAGTGTTGAAGACCAATATAAACGTTTGGCACTTTTCTATGCAGGCACGACAGGAAATACCATTGTCAACGTAAATCAAAATATGTGCGCTATCGTTTTACATTATAACGCCGTTTGTATTTATATAAAACCTTTTGATTATGAGGGCGCCCTCTGGCGATGTTACAGTATCCATTGTAGGAAAATGTAAAAAAAATGCAATGATAAATCTGTGATCCGTATAAATACTGTCTTATCAGCAGAAGAATCTTTACAAAACATTATTGGTAAAAGTTGACCGAATTTCTAATATTTATGCGAGAAAAGAAAGGAAAATTAAAAATAATAAATGAAACTTCGACTTTATACACACCAACAGCCCCCATGGCCCGATTTCAGTAAAGTGATAATCAATTTGTTTTTCAACATTATAAATAGAATTATACACGGTCAAATCTGATAATAGCTTAACTGCTAATTCAGTAATAATTTATTTATAGAAGTAAAATGGAAAACAGTTTGCAATTTTATTTAAAAAGAAATAAAAGAAAACACTCGCAATATTTTCATATTTTATGGTTATTCCAAAAAGTGTATGTTATTAAACGCAGAAAACAGAATAAAACGCCCCCTATTAGAATATGCAATATGAGTTTGATAAGCGACGATTTCATGCATGGACACTCCACTTTAAATAATCCGAATTTTACAAAACTAATTCTTTGAATATAGGCACTTTGAAATATATCTATAATGAAAATACAAGAAAATATTCTGCCAATTAAAGATAGTTCTATATAACTGTATACCCCTTAAAGACGACAGGTAGGACCACTAAAAATGACATTGAAAAAAAACTTAAGCATGTACGAGGGATTTCAATTATAAAGGCTCAGGAGTCGGAACCAAATACATTGTATATTTTGAATTTGCATAATTTATTCTGAAAATTTATTGTCCGTGAAATATAATGCTGCCATCCTGTTGATTAAATCTGTATTTTAGATATAAAATTATAATATTATATAAATATAATACAAAATATTAAATTTTTGGGTCTTATTTCATGTACAAAGATCAGTGTCCTTTCCAAGATTAGACGATGCCGGAACTTGCTAGGATCAAAATTATCCAAAAATTGCAACAACCTTAAAATTATATTCTTCCTTGGTATAAAACTTACTGTTTTTATTTAAAGTTGGATTAAAATATTTATTTATATTATAAGTTTTGTAATTATATAACACTATATTGTGTTATTTGGTAAAAATCTATGA